ACAGAAATGTATCGACCTCCTGCATTGTAGTACCAAAGGATTTCGCGTTGCCGAATCAGATCTATGAAGCTGAGGCGCATCTCGATTCTCAGGCAAATATACGGTATCATACTGGGGCGAGTCAGGCAAAGCCATTGAGGCATCTGCAAGTGGACCAAAGCGATCTTCTGGTTCTTCCACCTCAAAAATGCATAAGCCTACACATCCTTGCACATTCTACAAAGCATGCGTGACACTGCACCTGTTCACCCTTGGGCAAAGAGCGAGCCTCCCTGTACAAGGACACCAGGTACTCGATCTGCTGATCATTCCGCAAAGTCTCTTTGGCCCTTGAAGTCTGGCTTTTTGGCCTAGCTGCCAGAAAACCACACAACGTCACATACACATTCCGAGCGAATCAACGGCCGAGGTAGAAATGGCATGCAGCATCCATGTGCCATCCAGCAGAGCCTCGACAACATCTTCGCTGCTTCGAAGGTCCGGTTGTTCTTGTGGCACAAATTTACTGCATCCCTGCAGGAGCTTGATTGGCAACAGTCATCACTTGTCGAATATCAAGCAACTGATACATATATATATATATGATGTTCTCCCTGCATACCTATACTCTGGCAGCAAACACAAAGTCCTGTGCAGAACGCTGCACTCTCCAAAAAAACATTCTTCGCGAGCCCAGGACATGCGTACAAGGAACTTGGCCAAGTTAATGGTACAAAGAATGTGCCTTAATAAAGTCTCATAGTTCTCATCATCCTCGATGTGTTCGCAGATCTGATCTGGGGTCAGCTCTTCGTCTTTGACAACACCCGCCCTGGGCACGGTCAATTGAAGCACAGTGTCTGTGTGTCTCAGCGCTTGCGATTCCTTGCTCGCACTGCTTCCAACTCAGATCGGAGCAGAAGCCAATTCCGCTTCAGCCTTAGGAATGCCTTTGCGCAGCATCGGATATCTTCATCCACGTAGGCAAGAAGTCGTTCGAGCATCCTACAAACAGAAAGCACCTGGAGGCAAGTTGTGGCATTTTATGGGCTTCCCCGGGCCTTAACTCTGGGTCGCTATCATGACGATCGTGCTCATCAAGGTCCTGCCAGGATCCACCAGTGGATTTGTAACAAAGGAAAGCTCCTTCCTAACCAAGAACTCTAAACATGCTTGCCAAAAAGCTGTTTACAACTCTTTGGCTGTCCTCATCTATCCTCCTCAGAACCTCCCGCACGAGTGTGCGGGGTGCCGGCACCTTCTTATCGCGGGGTTCGGGCTGCAGCACCTTCTTCAGAAGCTCTTCTCGCCGAGCATTTGGAATTGTCTTGTCCTCAGCTGCATGCCGGCCGGGCTGAGTTGAAACCCGCTGAACACCATCCCTGGGTCCCTCTAACCTGGGCCGTGGCGCATTGAAGACTTGGTAGATGGGCTGATCCGGGTCACCTGGGTATGGGTCAAAACTAAACCACCAGGGGACCGCAGGTTTTAGTCCATGTTTCCATCCACCAGGGCAAGCCATTTTAGGTACCGATTTTTGACCCACACCCACCTTCCGGGTGGAAGTCCCTGTAAAGCTGCATCTCCGTGATCAAGTCAGCAGCTTGATGCAGTGCTGCGATCTTGTCCCGACCCCAGCCTGGCAGTCTCTCGCCACTGGCCGAAGAAAAGGCGGATATCTGGCTGGCTTGTCAAATGTGATACCATGGAGCAAATAAGTCTGGCACCTCTGCTGCAGAGTTGCAATCGGATCTGCTCACAGATCGCCGTGCGGTTCAAGCACTCGCCAAGCAGACCCGGCACCAAAGGCCAAGCCCGCACGTCCACTTCCGCGTAGATGGACGTGCAGTCGTCTTTCAAATGCAAGCTCATCTTCTGCCTCCATTGCGTGGCGTCATCCAGTGGCGAGCACTCCAAAACGCATTGTGTAAGCCAAAGGATGAGCCTGGCACGTCGAGTCGCAAAGTGGCGCGTGCGTCTGAAAACTGAAATCAGGTCAGGCCAGCTTGTGGCACCACGTCTGCTTGTCAGGTGGCCAATCTCGGGTGCCATCAAGGGCTTGCAAAGCATTGTCCAGGTCTCCTCGGCCGGCAGGACATTGTGCGGATTTGCAACACGTCATGTTGCACCTGCCAAGACAAGCAGGGAAAAGTCTCGCATGAAACCTTGTATCGCGATCAAGGTTATGCTAAAACGTAGGCAGACTTCAATCCGGCAACAAACGATCATATCTTGAAAGCGTGTTTTAAGAAACCATGTGGAATTGACACCACTATGAACATGAAAACAAAACTCGGCAAGTGGCCAACAGTACTACAAATCAAGCCAACGCATGAATTCATCGTTGTTGCATCAGACTGAGACCAGACAAAATAATCTCAACTTTAGGTACATCCTTGAGCTCCATGAATAGATGACGAATGCGGACTTGCGGAGGCGTTCAGGTCCATGGGGCAAAGTGGGACAGCCAGCATAAGACTGAGACAGCTGAGGCTGGCAAACAAAATGGATATTTGCAGACCAATTGCAAAGGTGGCAAGTCCATCAGCCAGATGCGATTCAGGCTGCTGGCACTGGTAGCTTGACGATTGGCCGACTATGTGTGGTGACTTGCGGAATACTTCTTTGGTCAGTCTTCAGCAGTCCTCTGCGCACTTTGATGTACTCCCGCTCCGTCATGCTTTTCAACAAGCGCTTCGCCTCCTCGAAGAGAGTCCTGCTCTGCGCCTGCGTCAGTGCTTCAGAGTCAGGGCATGGCCTTGCAACAAAACTGGGCTGCCCGTTTTCAGATCCCCCGCTAAAAGTTTCACTTTTAGTGGGTTAAATGGAAACTACCATTAAACACTAAAAGGCCAAAAAGCTAAGGGGATGGCTGGGAGCCACCAAGAAAACACAACAAAAAACCACCGGCCTGTTCCCGGACCATAAGTGAGTAGGTCTCTGCGGCGAACTTCTTGAGCGCGTGGCTCAATTTGGTAGCAGGAGTCTCCTGTCCTCCAAGGATGCAAACGTCACCCGAAGACTGCTAAAAAGCCGGGAACCGTCGCCAACATGAGAAAATCGCAACCGTGTTGCTACGTATTTCACAAGAGGCAGCAACGCATGATGCAAGCAAGGTCTATTGCTGCGTTCAAGCAGTCACAACGCTGGACAGCACGGTCTTCACAGAAAGACTGCAAGAAAGGAGTGCGAGTAGCATATCCTTCTGCTCGCCAACGTCGCAGCATGTCAATCGCTTGTTGGCCAGGCACGGTGTTGTCGCCGTGGACAAAGCCGAATTCTTCCACCGTTGCCTGCAGGAACCAAAGAGTGATCTCAAGCTGGCACGGAAGTTTTGCCTGTCCAAGCGTCATTGGCTCAACCAGCAGATGTTTGACAGTTTAAGTTTGACCCAACATGACTCATCTATGATCTAAAGCCTCAAATCACCCGAAGTTGCTCAGCGCTCCTCACGCACCCCTCTGAGTCGCTGGCATGTTGTTGTCTGGCTTGGTTCTCCTGGCACAGTTGCCCTGCCTCGCTGACCTTGGTCCTTCACCGAAGCGAGGCAGCTGGACATCCTGCACCTTTGCACCTGGCAGCCACTTGCAGGTGGCAACTGGCCATGGTTCAAAACCAATGGTACCATTTTGGGGTTTTCGCTGCACCACCCATTTTAGAACCTATCCTAGTGGGGATTGGGATGTTCACTGGGGGGTACGATTTGGCTTTTGACCCATGGCCTGGCTTTTTGCCGACTGCGACCCGGCCTGTTCCCACCGGCTGAAGCCAAGCGTGGTCTTTCAGGGCTTCGCAGAGCTCAGGGCCTGGAACTGTGTCAAGTGCATCAACCCATTTAAAGGCCGAAATCCGGCCCACCTTGTCTACGCCCCTGTCCTAGAATAGAAGCAATGTCTACATCTCAGCATCGAATTGGCCAGGCTGTGCATGTGAGTTGCTGGCGCTTGAAAGAGAATTGGTGGTCCCTTGCGATGCTTTGGAACTGCATCGAAACAGCACTGCAAGAAACAGCAATAAGCTCCCTTGGTATGGAAAGTCAAAGACGGCTCTTGCCAGAAACGTGGGCACAAGAGCCGAAAGGGCCTTGGCCGAGTTGGCTTGAGCTACGGCATTTGCGCAGGGAAAAGAGTTTTTAGCGTGCCTCAATGCACCGTTTCAGTGAAGTCTGTACCATTCCCGAATTGCCAGACCAATCCCCACTCTTTGAGCCCGGGAAATACTGAAAGCATTCGAAGCACTTTCCCGGAAGTGCCGAATCTCATCTTGCCAAGATGTTCTGCACTAACAGCTTTTCATCTTGCGAAAGGTCTGTTTGGCCTTTGTACACAAGGGACGCAAATCGTCAAACCCCGAAAAACCAGCCACGAAAGAGGGCGGTTGCAGAGTTCCTTCCACAACCGTTTCGCTCCTGGCTCGTCGGGCATCACGTAGGGAACTTCTTCTACCGGCCGCCATCGAGCAAAGCTGGCCTGGCGCTTGACCCGAAGTCATTCGCCCTCGAAAGGCAAAAAAGTTGTTCGGCCTGTCGGCCCGCGGTGAGAGGTAGCCGCAAAGGCCCGGTAACTGCCATTGCGACAACAATCTGGATAGGTACTGAAGGCAAAGTGGGTTCTAGTTGGGGACCCTTTGGTGAATATCATTTAGGTGGGGATCCATGTCCACCAATCACTTTGGAGCCCTATTAAAATTCACAGCCATGTGTGAGACATCAACAGTTGGGTGCTTCCTTAGATGTGAACAGAGTCTTGCGCAAACGAGCCGATAAGGCATGTCCGGCAAAGAATTGGTGCTGTGGTCTGTCATGCAGCTGTAGTCTGATACACAGCTTGATACTGCAAAAGGCTCTGGACAAGAACACATCACGCATGGGAGAGCATTCAGAAAAGGAGTGGCCAAATGGCAGTAAAACAAAAATCGGGTAGCCCCAAAATGGCTTGCCCTGGTAAATGGAGCAACATGGCCAAAAAAAAAGCGGTCCAATTCCTGGTGGTTTCATGACCCATACCCAAACGAGCTCCTGCAAAGCCTCCTTCGCAACAATGACCTGCCGGGCGAGCGCCTCCTGCAGAACCTCAAAGCCAAGTCAAGTCTGAGTCACTTGCTCAAAACCCTTTGTATTAAAATGTCAGACACAACCAAAACCCTTTGTAGTAAGATGGTCAGACACAATAAAAACCCTTCAGACACAATCAAAGCCCTTTGTAGTAAAATGGTCAGACACAATCAAAGCCCTTTGTATTAAAATGGTCAGACACAATCAAAGCCCTTTGTAGTAAAATGGTCAGACACAATAAAAACCCTTTGTGTTAAAAATCATCAGACACAATCAAAACCCTTTGTCTTAAAATGGTCAGACACAATCAAACCCTGTTGTATTAAAATGGTCAGACACAATCAAAACCCTTTGTATTAAAATGGTCAGACACAATCAAAGCCTAAAATGGTCAGACACAATCAAAGCCCTTTGTAGTAAAATGGTCAGACACAATAAAAACCCTTTGTATTAAAAATGGTCAGACACAATCAAAGCCCTTTGTATTAAAATGGTCAGGCACAATCAAAACCCTTTGTATCAAAATGGTCAGACACAATCAAAACCCTTTGTAAAATGGTCAGACACAATCAAAGCCCTTTGTATTAAAATGGTCAGACACAATCAAAACCCTTTGTATTAAAATGGTCAGACACAATCAAAACCCTTTGTGTTAAAAATGGTCAGGCACAATCAAAACCCTTTGTACCTTTTGTATTTAAATGGTCAGACACAATCAAAGCCCTTTGTATTAAAATGGTCAGACACAATCAAAGCCCTTTGTATTAAAATGGTCAGACACAATCAACACCCTTTGTGTTAAAATGGTCAGACACAATCAAAACCCTTTGTATTAAAATGGTCAGACACAACCAAAACCCTTTGTATTAAAATGGTCGTAATCCCAGAACCATGCTACAAGAATTGAAGAAGCCAGAATTGTCCGCACCTATTTCTGGCTGGGACTGGCCCTCAACCGGATCTACCCGAATCGGTTTTGAGCAAGTGGCTCAAGTGAAAATCATTCCAAGGACACCTGACACGCGTTAAAAACCTGGTTTGCGAGCTCCCGGCATTCAACGACAGGTGGTCCGAAGGCACCTCATCAAAGTCCAGTCCAACGCTGGCAGAAGCATGAATGCAGCACCTTGTCCTGGTAATAATTCACGACTGCAGAGACGTCTCGCATAGTGATGTTTGCTGCCTTGCAGCGGTATCGAAGTTTGTCATGCAGTGCAAAGCGTCTGAAGCACAAAGGCGCTTCAGTGTCTGGAAGCACACGCTGGGAAACGGCTGAGACCCCGCATGCCGCATGCTGGCCTGTCCGTCAACCAGCCCGGCCACCAAAGTGGCCTCCCTCTCTATGTTGACCCACCTGCGCTTCGGAAAGCGCAAGAAGCAAAGCCTATGGCTATGGGTCAAAATTCCACCAATAAAATTGGACCCCAGGCCTTTTGTTCGTCCCTGTATCTACTCACATTTGGGAAAAAAACCCGCATTTTGGGTTAGCTATTTTTGGTCCAGCCGCGAAGCAATCGATTCAGCTGATCTCGGGAGCTCTCAGCCTGTAGCTCTTCAGGCGGCGAACAAAGTTCAGTGCCACGGCCATCAGCGGACGAGCGGGCGCCAGCTCCAAGATCTCCTGCGCGAAAAAGCCGAAAACGGTCGGCCATGAAATCAAACTCTTCCATGCTTTTTGTTTGTAACCCGATTGATTTGTGAAAGGGTCAATCAAGTTGCTGTCTTGCTGGCAGGCCTCGTCCACATTGTCTCCAGAACCCAACCCACCGAAGCTGCGCAGAAAGGCCCGCCGCCTTACCCAGGCCTTCGCAGCAAGTCCCCGATTACCCCATCATTTTGTGCGGAAATCATGAAAGCCTGCATTGTCCCTCGCACAGTGTTTGTCTGCTGAACGGTACGGCAGGCGCAGGATGTCTGTGCACGCGCCAAGCTTTGGCAGCTCAAGTTTCTCAACATCAATACGACGAAATGCTCTCATTTACTTGAGCCTTCACTCGTGCGTACCCTTGCAAACAAACTGACCAACATGCTCGGCTGCGCTGAAAAAGCCGGACCTGAATTAGAAGAACAGCTCGAATGAAAGGAGGCGGAGGGGGATGCTTGAAGACCTGAGTCAACCCTGACTTGACCGAAAGGCTGAGCAGTGTTCACTGTCATGAAACATCGCTATGCATGCCGCACGCAAACAAGTCCAAGGCCTTGTTCGCATTCTGCTTGCGTTCCACTTGCACACTCTCGACCAATGTACCTAGGAAACATGTCCTGACCACCAGTTCGGGCAATATGCTGCCCTGTGCGTGGCAAGCTCAGTGTGCGCACTGGCCACTGCAACAGCCGCTTCAGCCCGTATCTCCACGATATCATAGTCCTGACACTGCGGAAAAATAGTGTGGTGGTGGGTGCTGGGTGGCGGGGCCTTGTCCGCCATTCGCGGATTAGACAATCACCGTGTGCTGATCCACAACAAAGTGGCCTCACTGGCAAAGCGTGAGTACAGCTTGAAATTGCATGCAGCACAGAAGGGCCCCTGTCAGCTTCCCTCTTTGCGCTTCTCTGCCAAGGCACGCACCTGTCGTGAAACTGGGTTGATGAAACACACCTCAGGCTGCCACGACAACAAGCACCTTGAGACCTCGAGCTTCCGGCAACTTGCTATGATCCTCACAGGTCACAATGTTCTCTCCGTGATTATGTGACCCTCCCCACCTAAATGCCCACGCCTGCCGCCAGCGGGTGCCTTTCTTTGGCACCCTCGGCCCCCTTGGGGGGCAGTGCTTCAGGCAGAAGCACTGGAGTGCAGGAGGAATCAGAAAAGCTGTGATCCTCAAAACAGCGCGGCCACTCCCGATTGCGCCGCCAGCATCAAGGCTTCACATGCTCTAGCGTGGATTGCCTGCTAGCTAAGAGAAAGCGATTCCACAACTTATACTCGAGCGCCATCTTTTGTGCGGAGTCCAGCGCCATTGTGCAAGCCGGGCACTGCAATAGATCTGAAGCTAGTTGTAAGATGCTAAGACAGATTGCTTTGCTGTCCACTCAGATTACTCAGCCATCGAAGGCACACCTCACTGGCAAGTCACTGGGCAGAAGAGACGGTGCTCCCTTGGGGCTCGCACCACCAAGCAGCTTGCTGCGATGGCATTCCTCTGGCAGGGTCTCGACTACCATGAAGTGCTCCTCCGATGCCGATGGGAAGCCTCTTCGGACGGCCGAAGGCGCCGAAGGCTGCTGATTCGGCTGCGGGTCAAGACCGTTTTGGGATCCCATTTTGATTGGTAGGTGAATTCACCACCCATTTTAGAACCTATTTTAGTGGTTCTTCCGACTTCCGAGTTCCGCCGTTCCTCCTCCGAGATGCCCAGGTGTTGGCGCCGTCTCTCCACCGCCTCCCCCAGCATGGGCTCGGTCAGCGAGAGCATCGCCGTGCCAGCCACCGGAGGATAAATACCTGGAGCTTATGCTTCATGCTTGGGATGCTATGTTAGTTCTAAAGATACAAATTGCATTTTCTTTTAATTAAAGTATGACTTGAACTTCAAGCCTGGCAATTTAAAGCTTGTCAACCACGAGGGAGCTGAGGGTGCTGAGGATGCCGAGGTTTCGCAGACTCAGGAGCCGGCGACTGAGCGTGCGCCGGCCCTTGGCCACCCTCGCCTCCGAGGTTGCTGCCGAAGTGGAGGAGTAGCAGGCCTGAAACGAAGCGCATTCCAACTACAAACCCTTGCAAGGTCCCTTTTGAAACTACGCTTGGATCAGATTTGGGCAATTACAACTTGGTTGACATTGGAAGGGGAGCAAAAACTCTGATTTTTTAGCAGTTAAGTAGTTGGATTTTAACCGCTAAGCCGCAGTGGGCAAAAATGTAAAATGTTTCCCAACAACAACCCTGACAAACCCTGGCCGCCCAAAAAGTCCTTGAATGAAAGGCTTTCTCAAACGAGATCCGGGTCGAGAAGCGATTCCTACAAGTGAGCTCGATATGATTTGCACAGACTTCTTTACTTTGCTCTGCTCAATCTGGCACTCTTCTGACTGTGCGTCCCGCCATTTCCAGGACAGCTCCGTACTCCAGCAGCCTGGCTACCGCGTCGCCAGCAGCCACCTGACGTGCACAAAGCGTTGGTGTCAAGGATGATCCTGTGTCAAATATCCGTCAGCCAGCCGGCCTGCGCAGCCAGGGAGGTTGCAAACCCACGTTGCAACACCTAGGGCACATGCTGCTAGCAGCAATCAGTTCAGCATGTCACCCAATGCCCCAACGAAGCTGCGCCTCTAAATATGGCCGCTCGGACTTCAACCACGACCATGGCAGCTGGAGGCAGAGCACCTCGTGGACTCTTAACCGAACAGGACAGAATCCTCAGCTTTGCCTCCAATGCCACTCGCTTCAATCCAAAAGAGCTGTCTCCTTGTCCCCTACGACTGGCATGGTAGAATACAAACCAAGTGCCGTCCAACTGGCGCCTCAGAGTCAGCGGCTGTAACAGTGGCTCTTGCAAGAGTCGCACCGCCTGGCCAAACCGGCGAGCAGCACAACTTGCACTGAGGATACTGCTTAAATGTTGGACTGACAGTCTCCAGATCAAGCGTGAGTCAAAGCAAGGAATCCTCTGCCGGGAATCAATCTGCCGAGGCGGGCGAATAGAAGCAAACAACAGCACGCCCAGACCTTCCAGGCAATCCATGTTGAGAAACTCTGGATCTGATATTATCTCTAAACAAAAACAAGCTTCCAGGATTCCAACATCAAGCAAGTTTGAGAGGAGATTAGGCTCAGCTCTTTGGAAATGTAATTCTGCATGGCCCTACAATACAATGCAATGCCATGCCACGCAACGCAATGCAATACAGTGCAATACAATACAATACCAAAAAAAAACTACAACCAACCAACTGACAAACTCAAAACAAAATGCAACAGGCAGCAAACGGACGAGCAACAACAAACAAACAAACAAACAAACAAACAAACAAACAAAAACAAACAAACAAACTCACAGACAAACAGACAAACAGACAAAGATCAATCAATCAATCAATCAATCAATCAATCAATCAATCAATCAATCAATCAATCAATCAATCAATCAATCAATCAATCAATCAATCAATCAATCAATCAATCAATCAATCAATCAATCAATCAATCAAATCAATCAATCAATCAATCAATCAATCAATCAATCAATCAATCAATCAATCAATCAATCAATCAATCAATCAATCAATCAATCAATCCAATCAATCAATCAATCAATCAATCAATCAATCAATCAATCAATCAATCAATCAATCAATCAATCAATCAATCAATCAATCCAATCAATCAATCAATCAATCAATCAATCAAACAAACAAACAATCAAACCAACCAACCACACAAACAAACAAAGAGACAAAAACAAAAGACACCAACCAATAAGCAAGCAAGCAAGGCAAACTAATGAACACACGTGACTGACTTGATTGCCAGAAAGGGACGTACTAAGACAGCTTTTCTAGTAGCGAAGCGACCAGCAGATTCATGTCCTGCAAGATTTGGGCTCAAAAACTGAAGCAGAAACGCCTGGCCTGCTTGGCCTGTAGTTTCAGGCCGACCTTGCACTGATGATCGAATGGGCTTCATCTACTGAGCTGTGTGGGATGACTGAGAACCGCGCAAAGCAGCCGAAGAGCCGGCAGCTCAGCACCAACGGTTGCGCCGGCACAGAGGCGACCCACCTTAGCATTCCGGAGACAACAAGGCTGGACTGCCCGCTCACACCAGCTGGGCAGCTCACCTTCAAACCTCTTATTTGAACATCGCAGCATCCCCGGACCAGAATGTAGACCTGGCAGCCAAGATACCTGACCTACACAAATACAGTGAAGTTGCCAGATGCATGTGGTGATACCCTTGCCCAGCCCTGCCTGAGCGTCTTTCTCTGTACATCCCTCCTCAACGAGGGTGCCGCCAGGGATGAAGCGACGCCATTCTCCAACCTCGCCAGGCACATCAAGTCTGCGAAACGAAGGGAACGCACCACAGCTTGGCTCCGCCTCTAAGAGCGAGAGAATCTGCTCTCGAGGAACCTGCTCCCCTAGCACCTGCGCGAGCGTCAACCACTGGCCAAAAACCGAATTGCTAGGATGCGGCCGAATTCCAGAGGTATTTTCGATTCGCTCTCAGCCACACATGGTTTTTCGCTTACCCACTCGGGCCACCTTGTGCAGCTGTAGCTCGTCCTGACAGAACAAACAAGTGAAGCTGGCTGCTTGCCCGCTGAGCCACAGCACCTCAACCAGCTGCCGCGGCTGTTTCAAAAGGAGGAGTCGAATGTGGTATAAATTCACCTGGCAAGTGAGGAAGACCGCTGTAGTGTCACAACTAGTCAAGGCATAGGTCAAGCTTCTGATGCCTGGCAACTTCTGTACATGCTTGGCACAAGGGCAAAAGTGTGCATTTAGGCCCGAAAAGAGTGAAGCGCGCCAGCAGGACTGCACAATACACGGAGTTCCATCCCAATGACACCCACTGGTACTTTGGTTGCAAGGCCTGGGCAAGTCTGTTCCGAGAACTTGTATCCTACATTGCGTTCGGCCCATATGACGGCTAGGCAAACATATGACGACATGCCGTCCAGTCAAAAAGATGCCCATTCACGGTTGGCAACACGGCCATCGTTCGCCTGGAAGCCAACGATCAACGCACACCCCCCGCAGGCAAAGAAGCGAAGCCAAAGCCTGAGAGTGTTCAGTGCAGTTTGAGATCACAGGGCGGTGAGTCTCAGCGCAAGACATGTCCGTCATCACGTATTCGAACAGGCCAGTAAGGTAACCTGAGGGGTGTGCAGTGATATACTCGCAACAAGGCCACACTACTGGCCAGCGCCTGCTTGCCCACACAGAAGCGCCAGCCGCCGCTTGTACTGGCATGCGTTGCAAAACAAACGGCACAAGGCACAAGTAGCAAAATCAGAGTCTTCAAAATTGCACAAAAAACTGTCCGGCCATCTTATCAAGTCCGGAAAGAAAGAAAAAAATGCGTTCCCCCTCCAAGCCGCGTTCTATGTCCAAGCTGCTGGGGGATTGAAGACCCGAGTGTGAGTGTGTGGCCATCCTCTTATTGCATTTCATTGCGTGGTCTTCAATGCGGCCTCCACTGTGAGCAGCCCAGACCACTCAATGCGGCGGCCAAAGTATATGCCCAGGAAGTGCGAAAGGCCTCACTGACACGACCATCAAGCACTCATTGCATGAGAAAATCCCGGCGCGCCACTGCCTTGCAAAAAAGAAAGAAAGCCGCGGCGGAAGCGGATCACCGACATGTCCATCTCTCGCCCTCCAACTCCCTGAGTTCGAAGCTCATGCGTGGCCGAGCCATGGGACTGGCCAAGGCAAATGCCCCGTACGCCCCGTGGCTTCACATTGCGCTGCACCAAGAGCTAC